TGAGCGCCTAGTCTGGGCAGGGTTGACCTTTGTTGTTAATCCCAAAGTCGGCTTTATCTCTTGAGAGTTTTCCCCTCCTGCTCAGCCACCTCTGCTTGGAGATTAGGCAGTTTGGGGATTTGAGAGGAGCTGGAGTCCCTCCCTCCTCCCACTTCCCTCCTCCCTCCCTCCTTCCTCTCTCCCTCTAGCATCTCTCCAGGGCCCACAGAGTGACCTGATGCTTCCTGATTAAGAATGTGGCTTTGTCACCAAGCTCCCGGAACATGTTAAAATGCAAATGGGGGGCCCTGGGAGGAGTGTGGCTTTTCTCTATTAGCATTTTATTTTAAGAACTTCGGAATATTCACCGAAGAAGGGGCCTTAGAGACTGAGCAGGAGGCTCCCTTCTGCCACAGATAACAGTAATCAGAGCTTCCTTTTGTTGTGGGCGCTCCCTGAGACGCTCCTCATGGATGATTACAGAGAAACTAACAGGGATTGAGTGCCCCCGGGGCCCACCTGCCGGGCAGGGGCTTTATGTGAATTCATTCCTTGCATGTGCCCACTGCCCTTCAGAGGCTGGTACTGTCCTACCCACCAGCAGCCAGGTTTGGAATTTTGTTTTTGTTTTTGGCATTTAAAAGCCTCAGGGTTTTGAGTTTCTATTATTGCTTATTAGGACACCATGCAGGTCCCTGATCCAAAGTCCGCTGGGATGCTAGAGAGCTGGATTGGCAAACCACAGAAATCAGGCCTGCTGTCCTTTTTTGTAAATAAAGTTTTATTGGAACACAGCCACACCCATTCATGTACATTCATTTACATGCTGTCTGTGGCTGCTTTCCAAATACAGTGGCAAAGTGGAGTAGTTGTAACAGAGACTGCATAGCCCCAAAAATAAAAAATATTTACTGTCTGGCCCTTTTCATAACGTTTTCCAGCTCCTTTATATATAACTAGAGGCCTGGTGCACAAAAATTTGTATTTGTGCACTGGCAGGGGGAAGGCGAGGGGGATCCCTCAGCCCGGCCTGTGCCCTCTTGCAGTCTGGGACCCCTCAGGGGATAACCACCTGCTGGCTTAGGCCTTCTCCCCGGGGGATTGGGCCTAAGATGACAATCAGACCTCTCTCTGGCAGCC